CTCACGCGTACTGTGAGACTCTTGGTTTTTATGAGCAGTGTCATTTACCTTAGCGCAGTTTAGCAAGTTACTGCTGTTGGCCTCTTTTATAGAAGCAAACTACAGTGCTGTTGTAATTCAGATCTGGGCAACGTTAATACACAGCAAAACAAAACAGAATCAAAAGATGCTGTAGGGGTGTTCCATAAATTACTTTGTTGCACATGGTCTTCATTTCAAAAAAGTCATTGGGATTACTTCTAATATACAATCATGCTGAAATATATGAAAGTGAGATCATGACTCTCATTTTTGTTTGAGGCACATATGTCAAAAAAGGACTCATGGTCACACTTTCATATATGTAAAAAGACATTAGAGTCCATCAGCTTCTTCATACGTGTACTCAGACAGTGGCTCACACAACCACTGACCACGTTCTGCATTGCGACCAATAGGTGAAGCAGCTCTTAATTTCAAAGGAAAGAGATTCCCCTGGTTATCCACTTATTAAAAATCTTATGAGTTAAATAAACGTCTCGGAGGAGATGGCTTTTTCATCACTTAGCTTTGTCCCACAGCAACCATACATACTACATGGAAAGACAGGACAGAAAGCTAAATGCAATTTAAAGCATACCCACGACTTTCCTCTGGAGAGTAAGAAATCTACACTTGCTCAACATACAGCTAGCAGCAAACTGGCATAAGAAGGAAACCCAACCATACCGGAAGAAGGACAGATGGAGCATATTATAGGAAGATACCAGTGCTGAAACAAATACCTATTCAAGAAAAAAGCTTGCATGACAGTCACTGTTTCCTGAGCCTTAAAGCAACTGGTGACCTGCTCAACCAGCTGAGTGAGTTGCTTACAGTGATAGCCTTCCAAAGAGAATTGTGACTGCAGCTAACTTTTCTATTTCACCATGACTGCATAGCATTTTACAGGATTATGGAGTATATATTCAAATGATCTTGAACTCCAAAGCCCCATATTTCCTCTGGAAAGAAGAAAAAGACTTTGCCAGAAAGTGTTTTGCTTCACTCTGTCAGACAACAAACCTTGGAGTAGGTAGTTTTATAATACTTGATAACCTCTTCCAGGCAAGGAATGTTCCCTCATGCTTTTATGGGGAGTAAATTAAAGGGAAAGGTAATTAAGAAACATGTGCAAGGCCATGGTCAAGGGCAGAAGAGAATCTGGAAGCCTTAACAGGCTGCTACAGGAATCTGAGCTTCATATGTTGTGTTCTGCAGAAAACGACTTGCACAGAAACTCAGGGCTATGTTCTTTTTACAAGAACAATTTTGAAAGGTAATAAATGCAAGGAGCAAGGTAGGAAATTGTTGGAAAAACACTCAACAATGTTAATCTAAAGCTATACTTCTTTCTTTTTTACTACAGATAAAAGATTTGCTTGGAATAATAAGAACACAGCTGTGATAAAGAAAAGCAGTTACAGTTAAGCAGCCAAAGAATTGAGCAACATTTGCACGCTAAGATAATAATCAGAACTGGCTCTGCAGAATAGTGTTTAGCTAATTTCACACCCTTCCTATTTTTAATCAATGCTATATTTGTATTTACTCAATAAAAAAAAATTAACAGCTTGTTGGAGACAACTATCAAGGGATGGCCAGAGTTCTACTGAGATGGCGCTAGAGTTGCACAGAGGGCTTCTTAGAGGACAAAGGCTCTGACTTTCAAATCAAGAGACCTCCCTGTATCTCAGAGCATTGGGAAGTGACTGCAGTGCTCTTTATGAGATCCTTTCATTCCAGACTGTAATCCAGAATACACCACGGCAAGCAGAATCACTGGTCCAAAGGTGCTATGGGGAGAAATACCTAGGTGACTCAGCAAATGTGTAGGTTACATGGAAAGTAACACTGCCATGGGGAGAGGACTTACTTCTATAGTCTGCTACCCACTCCTTTCCTCACCTGCTATAGCTGATACAGGTTCACAACCCAAATATACATGTTGTTATACACAGGCAGCATTTGAGAGCTAATTTGAGTTATCTGTCAATCTGCAGTGCCATGAGGGAGAGAGAGAGAAAGTTTTCTATAACATAAGTCATTAGGAAAAACACCATCTTCTAAGCAAACATTATTTGGCAGTCGCCTAAACTGGCAGCGACCAATGGGATGCTGGTGCTTTATTCTTCTATCACTGTATAACTTGCAAGGGGAGGAGACACAAAGGCTTATCCTTTGCTGGGTTTTTAGCTTTGTTGCTGTGCAGAAACAAAGGTACCTACTGGTGTTGCGCTGCCAGTTCAGTAAAGATCAGATGCTAGAAGGAATCACCTTCTCATTCTACAGTCTGGGCAATGAGTTACTCAGGAACAAGAGCAGACTCTTCATCTATTGTAGCTGGGCAACTTCCTGGGCAAAACTATCTACTTTCTTTGTAGATGCAAGATTGCAGACCACAATCCTTAACCATCATCTGATAAGTCAGCTGAGATATAGAATAATTCAAATAAAATTTAACAGGCACTAAAAAGATAAACAAATAATCTAAATGATGAAGGGTGTTATCTTTCTTCCAGGTCATCATAACAAATATCCTGATAATGAATTGCAGGAGTTAATTTTAGTACACACATTTTATGCATATAAGTCTGTGGGTCAGCAACTGGGCACAGGCATTTCCACACTTGACCTTTACAGTTTTGCTTTGCCAGGTGCTGCTGTATGATTCAGTTTTGGGCTTATGAAGCACTGTAGGAAGCAATTTGTATAATTAATAATCACCCTCATTTAAAATATTTTCATCCTCCTGATTTCTGATGTTCTCTAATTTATAGAGATTAAATTATATTTGAAAATAATTAAGATTAGCATGGTCTTAGTTGCATTGCATTGCTGGGTCAAAGTGTCATAATTAATATCCAGATAGAATTAATTTCCAAAACCTTCAGAGATTAGAGTTTATTTCTCACAGTGGCTTAGACAGAAATGTTACCATTCATTGTATGTCTGAAGAGAAGATGTGGTTTTATGGCAATTGATGTGAACAAGTCTACTTTTTGTAACTCAAAAGTTGCCTTTTGAGCAACAGGGCAGTTTGGATGAGGAAATACCAGGAATATTGAAATGGACACATTTCTTTCCTATCCTCAGTGCCTGTAAAAAGGAGCAGAGCAACTCTGTTGAGAGGTAGAGTTGGCTCTTCAGGCTGCAGAGATACAGGGAAAATATTGATTTGGGGGAAGCTCTAAACAGGTGCAGGAAAGACTGGGGAGATGAGAGTTACCGTGTAGAGCAATTCCTGGATAAAGGAAGCTCTGAAAAGGTGTTGTATGTCAGGAAAGTGCACCATCTAGAACTGCTGACACTCAACCCCTCTTGCTGCCTGCTGGCATTTCTAGCTCCAAGAGCAATGATGAAGAATGGCAACAAGGAATCTGCGGGGCTTGTGGTTCCACAGTGAGGCATAGCTGTTGTGAGGAGGACAGTGGGACATTTCTTGGGCTCTGGACATGCTCAGCCCAGTTGATGGGATCTGTGCAATTGGCTAGAGCACTGCTGCAGAATAGCTGGATTGGCTTCTGGGAGTGTTTCTCTGTTCAGCCATCCCACCAATGAGCAGAAGCTCACTGATCTGCCCCCTGCTGACCTTCCCGTTTTTTGCTGCATGCTCAGTTAGAAGGGAGATGGTGATACTCCAGGGGCAAATAATAAATGAAAGAATTGCTTATACTAGTAACAGCTGGTAGGAGGCAGGCCAAGACCCGAATCACCTGGGTGTGTGTGTGTGCTGTATGTGGAAGAGAGAAGTTTATGCTTCTTGCCTGTGTACACTCGATGTACACAGGCAATGATAATGTTTCAAGAAGCACTGAGGGCATAGGTGGCAATTGTCTGAGGCCTGCCAGCACAGGCACGCCAACCAGATACATCCCGTTCATAACTTCACAGATCTCACTTCCCACTCTACTGTACTCATATTGTGCAGATAACACTGTACAGCTTTGCTTCACCACTTCTCATGCTTTTGTAGTACTGAAATCAGGCCACAAACTGTTGATTAGTAAGATGTACTAGGGTTACCTGCACTTTCATTTCTCGGTCTGTATCCCAGATTCGGATAATGCGCACATCTCCGGAAGTCATGAGAAGTCCAGTTTCTTGTTCCCAATCCACCACCATTCCTGCTCCTGGGAAGAGATAAAGCATGGCACATATTTTTGTATAAATATGCAGACCTGAAGAGAGTCAACATGCCTATATCTGGTTCCCAGCTCTGAAGACATATTCTGCTAGAATTAAATGCCGCCCCTGAAAATCCTATGGAAAAACAAGCAGATTCCTGAAACTGGACAGACAAAAATGGATCTAGAATAAGCATCATCTGCTTCTTTTAAATCTACCTCACTTGATTTCAGCTGTGGTGTACTAGGAATGGTAAATGAGATATCAAACAAAGCCTGCTGACTTAAATAAGTAAGACTACATCTCATATTGCATATATAGATTTGCACCAATGTAGCCAGAAAGAGAACAAAGCCCTAAACTGAGAAAGCTGTCAAAAGGAAATCTGTGAGGAGCTGGGCTATGGCAAAGGAGAGAAGGGAGAGGAAAGCGTGTCCAGAATTAGAGCAATGGAGTACTTGACAGGCCTTCCTTGTTCTGCTAGGTAAATGAGATAACAAGGCTTTCATGTTTTTCTATTTTCTGTAGGAGTTATTGACAAAGATAAAACCAGAGAATAATGTAAATAATCAAGGAGAAACCAAATGTTTCCTCATTTTTTTCCCTTAGGGTTCCTACATTTTAAACAGTAATATTTATTTGTAAGGTAGTTTGTATGTTATTTCTAAATAAAAGGTAATTTATTTATTTTTATTTTATTTGTGGTTTCAAGTCAGTGTTGACTCCTGGCAACTGGCTGGACTAGTCCCTGCAGTTTTCTTGGCAAGATTTTGGAAGTGGTTTGCTATTGCCTCCTTCCCAGGGCCCAAGGCAGGACAAGAACTCATGATCTTCTGGTTTTTAGCCTGGTGCCTTAACCACTACACCAAATTGGCTCAAATAAAAGGTAAACATTGCATTTAAACTGGTCAAAACTCTTTTGCCAAAGATCAGTGTTAAGCCTAGGCAGTCACTAATTCAACATAACTTATTTCCACAAAACCTGGCACACTAAACTGTGAAAATTTATTAGTGGCCGGTTTTGGATGTCTGTGTTTAAACCAGAGTGTTATCTTCTCTGAGTATAAAGAAAAGGCAAATATCCATATATCTATCTATATTCATTTATTTGTCTAGCACTGGATTTTTCTTGGGACTTGGCTCTAGGGGCATGCTGGTATTGTAAACCTTACTTTACATTTTACTACTACATTCCTGGTACAGAGAGAAATGTAAAAGCTTGCTAATGAGCAAATTCTTTCTATTTCAGAGGTTGCTACAATACAGAATACTGCAGAATATCTTTTATTGCTAGAAACTGATTGAATGGTATAACTTAGCCTGAACTGATTCTCAGGCACCAATGTTTCTGCTTGTAAGGAACCATGAACCCCACAGATATTGCACATTTCTAAAAAAAGAATGTATGTGGCAGAAGGGATAATGCTCCAAAATCCTGAATCTAAATCAAACTTTGACAAATAGGCCCAGATTTGGGGGGGGGGGGGGACCTAGAACATCCAGAAATGAAAATGACTGATATAATTGTATCTTATTTACAATTAAGCACAAGCCAATTACAAAAGTCTGAAAAAATTGTTCTACATGGCACAGGAATGTTACAAGGATTCTTTCTCCACCCTTTTAGCACTACCTGGGCTACTGTTACACGTAAGTTCACAGGCAAGGATTTTCTCCTGTGTCAAGGTTTATTTCTCCTCACACTGGAACATTTACACTGAGAGTAAATATTGAGAACTAAGCAGTGAGCCAGCATCCCCAAGAGTACCCAGGGCATCTGCATTAAATGCAGTAGCAACAATGAACCTGGCAAATGAGAAGGTTTTCAATGACTTTGACTTTAGGGAATTTCCCATAATCAGCTCCAACTTGTTTAATGTGAATATTTTCCTTTAGAGTTTATAGATTGCTTGTATGCTGCTCAAATGGACTGCTGTGGGGAATCCACCCTCTTTTGTTCCCTGGTGGAAAGAACCAACAGATTATGATTATGCACATCTAATATTGTCTAATATTGTCAAAGGGCTATGTATGAACTTGATGTTAAAATGTACAGATCAGTAATAAATGGTTCAAAGCACAGAAGAAATGGATTTGTTGCATTAGTACAATATCCTTCTTGCTTCTAACCAACAAAATCCAAGGGAATGTGAATTTCCCTTTCCACATGTAGCTCAGCGTCTTAGCAAGAAAGTCAGGTTGTGGTGAAAAACAGCTTTGGAAGAAGAGAGGATTTATAACTGTCTCTTCTGCAATTCTACAATACAGTAGCGTCCAAAGACCTTCCTGTTAATCTCCCTATCACATCCACCAGGACATTTTCAGGAAGACAAAGCAAAATCCTAGCTATAATCAGGATGTCTGAAAGAGAATATTTCTTTTCGCACCTACAAAAGGTCTACATTTCTTGTCAGAAAATCAGATCAGACGCTAGCATTTGCTTTCTAACTGTAATACCTGAAATGGGTCCCAACTTGCAAAATGCTACACAAATATAATGGAGAGATTAGAAAGCAGGGCGAAATCATAAAACGGGATGATTTTAGGCCAGTGCCTAAAAACTAAAACACTGAACTGGGGAATGTTTATAGGATAATAAACAGAAAAGAAATGAAATCTACCTTTCTCTGCATTACATGTCTACATTAAGAGCATTAGAAAGCAAATGTATCTCCTGTCTTTCATCCTTCTTCCTTTCAGTTTGCAGCCAGAGCCATCATTAACACTGGCATATTTTGGTACAGTTCTGACCAGATAATTGTGCAAGTGAAGAACTGGGAGGTTTTTCTTTGATCTTTGATTTGCTCCTGACAGCTTTTGAATCTAATGGAAGAAATAGAGGTGGGGGAAAGGGAAAGGACTGTAGTTAAATTGACAGTTTAGATCTTTATCTGGACACTCAAATTGATGATTCCTTTAGCTTCCCTGGCAGCTTGGAAAAATGCAAGAGATTTGAAGCAAGCGTGAAGCTAATACTTTAAATGATAAACATTCTCCAAACATTTTGCATTTGTCATCTTGTTTATGGTCTGCATGCCAAAATAAATCCAGCAGGCTTGGGATGGATGGAGGCCTTTTCAGTTTTAGCACGCAGCACTCTAATCAGTAATGCTAAATATGCTAGCTTTTCTATCATTCCCACTCATATTTAGGGGAAGGCTCATTTACCGTTGCAATTGTAACCCTGTCTGCAAATCGTGGAGTCTATGGATGCTTCTGCATGAATGGGTAAGCAAATTAAATGAATAAAATGTTAGCAGAGGTGAGAGTAAGGACCCATCCCT